GAGTTTGATGTTTTACAGTAGTAATTACTGTCCTTTTACTGTCTTGGATTTGCTTGACACAATTTGCTGTTGTACCATTAAAATTACATTGTAGTTATTTGCATATTTGATGCTTTAAGTCCATGTATGGTGCGTTTAAGGTGCACTTGGTTTCAAAGAGGGACAATATTTCTAGAATTAATATTGCAATATAGGAAAAAGTTCTAACTTGTATTTACTATGCAGTTCTGTGCTTGTACTGTTCTCTTTGGTCATGTGACACTTTTGTATGTTAAAATTCTTGCATTGTGCATTAAAGATGCACTTAATTGCTTGTTAATTAATCTGTAATGTAGCAAATTTGACAAAGTTTCCAATGGAGAAATGTTATTAGACAAGAATAAAATACAATACAAATTGTTGACTTTGTAGATGTCTATTTTTAAAATTAGTTTCTAATTTACATTGTGTTATGATTGCACACTTGATGATAATTTAAAAAAATAGTGTTGGACGAAAGTGATTAAATAATGGTATAAAATGAATTTGATTGTGTCGGCATAAAGTGATCAAATTGTGCTGGAGTAACATAATCAACATGTTCAAGTTACACGACGGAAACGTATTTCAATACATTAGTATCAGTACAAAGCAGTTGTATTGATTGAGCACAAACGGTTAATGTTGATTTAACTCAATTCAGACATTTTCTCTCAAAGCAAACATTTTGTGTGCAACCAATGTCCACTATTGAATTAAGTAAATCCAACAGATTTTTTTCAGTGTACCTAATAAGCAAAAATGTGTAAACAAAGCAAAATAGGTTTGAAGTTTTAGATCCTTCACCGTAGCAACCTTTTGCTTTGAGAACAGCTTTGCACACTCTTGACATTCTCCCAACCAGCTTTATGACAGTCACCTGGGATGCTTTTCCAGAATTGTTGAATGAAGTTCTCACATCTGCTGAGCACTTGTTGGCTGATTTCCTCTCTGTGTTCCAGCCTGTCCTAGACAATCTCAGCTGCGTTTAGGTCTGCGGATTTAGAGGCCAGGCCATCTGACACAACACTCCATTCATTATACTTCCTCTTTGTCCAAAGCCCTTACATAGCCCGGAGGTGTGTTTTGGCACATTGTCCTCTGTAATGGTTTCCTTCAGTACTGGTTTCTTTGTGGCAAATTAACCATGGAGGCCTGATTCATCCAGTTTCCGCTGAACAGTTGATGTTGAGATGTTCTGCTACTTGAACTCTGGGAAGCTTAAATTTGATCTGCCGTTAAGCGGCGATGCCTGAGACTTGTAATTCATGAGAAACAGTTTAATCAGAGTGTTCAGGTAGATGAAGTGTTTTTACTGGTGTTTGTTGGTTAGTTGGTTTGTTCATAGCATAACTCAAAAAAGTAATGAATGGATTTTGGTTATTTTTTTCTGGTAGGGTATGGTCCATGAAATAATTCATTAGATTTTGGTGTTGATCAGGATCATCTTCCAGATCCAGGAATTATATATTTTTTTATTCTTCACAACTGTGAGATAGGGATTTCTTTTTCTTCTAATTTCATACATAATGCCTACAGTGCTTGGGCAAACATTGTACAATAACATTCATGTAAGATCTACCAAACACCAAAGTATGATCTGGATCCAAGTAATACTCCAGATGTGTTCATCCAGAATGTTCACATTTGTATGGGTTTTGCATTTGAAACTCTGCTGAATCAGTGCAGTGTCAAGAAATTTGACATATCTTTAAAAGTTACTGAGCTACATTCTGAAAAATGTCATTTTTCTTGAATAAGATTCAAACTAATAATGGTATCAGTGAGATTCTAAATGCTAGGAGTAGGTTTTCATGGTTATCGTATTATAATATGAAGGTCAAACTATCACTATTATAAAATTATTTTTAGGTGTAATGACATTTTTGGGGAAATGAGCTGCCTTGAATGAGGTTAGTTCTGTAAACTTTCATCTCTTAAAGTAAAAACAGGCTATTGCTTCTCTTCATTTAGTTGAGCAGTTCTTCTCATAATATAGGTTACAACAGAATAGGATATACTGTTAAAACAAAGAAAACCCACTGAATGAGAGGGTGTGTCCAAAATATTGACTGGCACTGTAGGTAAAGTTAATTTAAATTTTTACATAGTGGAAACAGGTCAACAGTGAAAACAACATCATATTCTCACGTTTAAATATATTTTGTAACTTAAAGGACTCTCCAGGTTGGTGGAGAGTTCCTGCCTCATGTGGAGGAGTTCAAGTATCTTGGGGTCTTGTTCACGAGTGAGGGAAGGATGGAATGGGAGATTGACAGGCGGATCGGTGCAGCTTCTGCAGCAATGCGGTCGATGTACCGGTCCGTCGTGTTGAAGAAGGAGCTGAGCTCTAAGGCGAAGCTCTCGATTTACTGGTCGATCTACTTTCCAATTCTCACCTATGGTCATGAACTTTGGGTCATGACCGAAAGGACAAGATCCCGGATACAGGCGGCCGAAATGAGCTTTCTCCGCAGGGTGGCCGGGCGCACCCTCAGAGATAGGGTGAGGAGCTCGGTCACCCGGGAGGAGCTCAGAGTAGAACCGCTGCTCCTCCACATCGAGAGGAGCCAGCTGAGGTGGCTCGGGTCCTGGGCACCTTCCTAGGGAGGTGTTCCAGGCATGTCCGACCGGGAGGAGGCCCTGGGGAAGACCCAGGACACGCTGGAGGGACTATGTCTCTCGGCTGGGCCGGGAACACCTCTGCATTCCCCCGGAGGAGCTGGAGGAAGTGTCTGGAGAGAGGGAAGTCTGGGCATCTTTGCTTAGACTGCTGCCCCCGCGACCCGGTCCCGGATAAGCGGAGGAAAATGGATGGATGGATGGATGGATGTAACTTCAAGGATTTTCTAAAATCCAAAACAACAAAATGTGTTGCATTTTGAAAGAGCTTGATTCACTTACTGGCAATTCCCATTCCTATCCATGCTACTATATATGGAGATGCAATTGATAAATATTTAAAAATCTAATAGATATCAGATTGTCATGTAAAACTCATTTTGAACATCTTGCTCAGAAGTTAAAAATAAAAATTGGCTATTTATGGTAAAGCATAGCTTGTTTCTTCTTTGAAAGCAGAAAAAAACAACCTACAGCACATATGCTGTATGCTCATGCTGCTGCTGCTTCTAGCCTTAAACCACTGGACGCAGTAGACCTCAGTGCCACTTGCTTCATTTCACAAGACAGCTATTGTTCTTAGCACTTTGAGTTATATGAAAAGGGAGGGTGGTCATTACTGGCCTCTAGAAGACATCAGCATACCTGTATCTTCATCTCAGTGTTGCAATCGAGTCACTAAACCTCAAGTCCAAGTTGAGTTTTGAGCCCCCAGTGTTTCGAGCCCAAGCGAAATCAGAGTCACCTAAGAATAGTCAGAGTCAAGTCCGGTCCACATGAAACACAACTGACACAGCTCTCTTCATTTTAAAAGGTGTTTACTTCAAGTGTGTGACACAACAGCCAAACAAACATACATGTACGCACACAGACAGATGTTACTTAGCATTAACAGTGTCAATATTAGTGTCAGTATCTTAGGCCAAATTATTATAGACTACTACTACTACAAAAAAAAAATTGTTCAAGTGCTCATCTCCAGCCTTCAAGTCTAAATGTAGCCAATGCTCGACTCCAAGTCTGAGTCATTAGTGCTCAATTCCAAGTTGAGTCACGAGTTCTGAAAATCAGGACTCAAGTCTGAGTCCTGGACTCAGGTACTACAACCCTACCTCATCTATATAAAGCGCTGCAATCCAAACAGCCTGGTAATTTAACATCCTTAGATCAGTTCGTAACCATGACAAGTCACAGGAGAGACGGATCTTAAAGTTCCTCTGAACTAGAGAAGACTGGTTTCTGGTACTGTACACCTCATTACTAAAATGAGCTACAACACAGCTTGAAGTTAGAGAAACTCATTCCTCTCAGATATTTTCAAATCTTACTCACCAACATTTTAAACAGTATTTATAATCGTTTTGATTAATGTTGCCATGTGTGCGTTTGATGCTTTGGGTTGAAGGTGCTGGATGTAATTTATCTAGATATTTAAATGATTTGTTATATAAATTACTCTATAAATTATTCACAAGGCTCTCTTATAAAAGATGTCTTAATCTCAGGGTTTCTTCTTGTTTTAAATAAAGATTAACTAACAAACTAACTACAGACAGGAAGCACAAAAGCTCCAAGCTGAGATCTTTTGAATTCCTCTTCTTTGGTGTATCAGTAACTGTCCTCTAGACAGAACCTGGGACCTTTTCCTTCACACAGGTTAAGACCTTTGCGTGTATGAAGCCCTGTTGTGAACATGTAGAGCTGTTTAGTGGTTGGGTAACTTACGGTATGTGATGTTTAAACGTAGCTGCTATATGTCACCACCCACCAGCGGTCTGGCCAGACTCACTCCAAACTCATTTCATTTTTCCACTCCTGACTGGCTTCCCAGGCCAGTGACACTGTAAATAGTAATCCATGAGGCTTCCTTCAGCCTAAAGACTGTGATTCCTGGAGCTTTCCTCTCTTTTTCCGAGCATTCCTCCTTTTGATGGTTGCACTGCGTTTATGAGCACGGAAAGTTTCTATTTAATTAGGGGTGTGATGAGGAAAGCGCAGGCCCATCCACATCTCAAGAGCACCCGGTGCACCTCAGGAAGCATGAAAAAATGAACATTTACTTGCAAATTGTTGATCCATATCATGGCTGAGAAACTGGTGGATGACTGTCTTGTTTTCTCAAGGGGCTTGAACACTGTACCAGTTCAATACAAGGGGATTTCAGAAGCCAGACATCGCTGCCCCTGTCGATCTCTTTGTTCACTCCAAAAGGCCAAAGGTGTTTGATGTGTGTTGTACCCACAAACACTCTCTCCAAGTTGACACTGGCTCCTTAAGTCATTGATACAGTGAAAATACCTCCAACTAAGTTTATTAGCCAATCACCTGTGTACAAAGGCCTGGCTGCCCTGAATGGAAATGATTAACTTGGCTGGCTCCAGATGGTGCTCACCCATGCATCCAGTCTCATTAGTCGGCACGGTCTTCCTGTCAGACCCGCTGCTGGTGTACAGGCACAGCTCGGGATGCAGAACAAGCTGTTGCTGGGAAACAGAAGCCCTGTTAACAACCTACACTATGAATTAGGAAACAGCAGAGAGCAGAAGAACAAACACCTCCATTAAGGTAAATAAGTGGTCACAGACTCACAAGGGGCATCGAGTATAAACCACTGTCCTGCTTGTTTCTTTTTCCTCTGCTGAGCCCTGTTGTGAACTACTAGGCCACTTGAGTTTTGCTGATAAGGTTACTAGATAAGGTTCTTTTGACATGGTTGTTTAATTAAAGGGACAGTTCAGCTAAATAACATAAAACTATCTCTTTTCTCATTTATTTCTAGTTTTATTTAATTATTAGAGCATGGGTACCAACATGTATATGACATTCTTTGCATGGTACTTTATGCATGGTTTGATGTGAACACATTTGCCTGAAATTAAGTATGAACTGCCCTGGTTTAATGATAGTGTCACAATCACTACAGATATTTTACTTTCATTTTACAACACAAAACACAGGACATTAACATAGAAGTCAAAACAATAGTCACAGGACATTTACAAAAAAGAACATATGATATAAACATGTATAATGAGTGTACCAAAGATTTTCAAGCAATGTGTGGGAGCATGTTCAACACTTACTGTAAGTGTTCAGGCAAAACAGGGCAGTCGGTGATGGAGGACACCAAACAATACAGCTTAACTAAAGAACAGCTGTATTTCATGTTACTTTGTTTTTTAATCATTAAATATATTTACTAGTTCAGTCATTAATTCATTAAACCAGTGGTGTCCTTCACCCCAGGAACTCCCATTATTTCACTGGCATAATCAAAAGCTGGCTTCTGGATGTTCTTTCTGGTTAAAGGAAAGTCTCTCTGTGAGAACATTTTGACAAAGCTGGCCAGCTCCTTTTCAGCTGCCTCCAG